AACTCCATTTAGAAAACAAACATTTAAAAAGTTGTTTTTTCGTCGTTGCTTTCAGACTTTGTTGGTTTGTCTGCAAGATGAGGAGCAAAGTCTGAGAGCAGACTTCTTACAAATCTCCATCATGAAGTCATTTCAGCATCATTAAATAAATACAATAAAACATTAAATCAGTTTAATCTGTCTATGGCGGCCTGAGCCTGAAATAAGGTAAATATTCACTCATGCGAGTAACGAGAGGCTTCACTGTCCTCCTGTTTGTCCTTTCTCTCTGTCCACACTTTCCTCATCTTCTTTATAATCTGTTTATTCTCACCCATCTCTCCAGTCTCACCCTCCTCTTCACACTCCTCCTCTACATATTCCTGTTGGTTGGTGGTAATAAGGACGCCTCCCTCTGTTTGTGCACACACAGAAACACTCTGGCAGATGCACTAGAGGACGGTTGTTGTTTCTATTTGCTTGTCTTCGGGGCACTTTACAGAGGCAGCGCTGTTTCCTCCCTCAGAGAGAGGCTGATGTTCATCGACTTTAAGTAAAGACGGCATACTCTCTACAGCTGTCCTGAGGGCTTTCTGAATGTGTCTGCAGAGGTTTGATGCTTTAGTTTGTCAGTGAGTGTTTCTGAAGGTATGCAGGTGGATATACTGTACAATGTAGCTTCTGAGAGAGGAAACTCCGTCTGGGACTATAAAGACTATCTGTCTAAGCAGATATGTTGATTCACACAGGAGACCCTTGTGTGATGTTTTATCTATATTTAGTCCTTGAATACTTAGTTTGTGGAAAGCCAATTTAGCATACGATTGACACTTTAAGTGTACTGAAGTAGATTTGTTAGCGTTAAGAACACAATTCAGTTGGTTGATACAATTAACACAGTGCAGAGGGACAAAATGCAGATGTTCGCTATATTGTTAGAAATTACATTGATTATGGATGAAAATAACATTGGAATATATTTCAGTCAAAAGACGAACTGACTACTGCAGTTTTCTAACGTTAACATTAGGACCACGTCCCAAAAGTAACAAATGATGTTTAATTTATCTGGTTTTACAGACGATCCGGGGATGTGTGTGAGGAGCAGAAAGAGAAGAAAATTACCAAGATTTTTGGATGTAATGTCGACCTCAAGGCTTTAAAACGGTTCTCCACAAACTGATTGGAAACCAAATCTACCTTTGGGTTCAAATAAAGTCACTTTGAACCTTGACCGTAATTCAGGTCAATTATTGTAGAAAATTGTAAGTCTTTTTTGGGTATTTCTTGCCAACAGTTACAAACACCAAACAAGCCTGAGGAGTGCTGACTTATCTGAAGATACAGCAAGTAGAATAAAGAGAAATGACCGGGCAGATTCAGTAAGACCAGCCAGGTAAATATTGTTTTCAGAAACCAGAGGTCTTGAGGTTTCTTACACATTCACAGGACTGCTGACAATAACAGAAGCACAGGAAGAAAAATACCTCGTTCCCACCCAATCATTTGGAGAACACTCAGCTTCAACAGCTGGAAACGGTCGCTGCAGACACTGTGTGTTTTGGTAAATTGAGATCTGATTGAGTGAGTACTCAGAGAGGTCAAAGGTTGGCGCGTCACCGTCGACAAAGTGAGCATTTATGCCTCAACATCCACAATCACAGATAGCTTCAGAAAATACATCAAATCCAACCTTTACTGTGAATTATCTATTCCTGTTTATAGGAAAGACTTTTGAGGGAACTGGTATCAATATATCTGTGATGGACGTCTCCGTTTATGAGTGAAGACTGGTTCAAAGTCCAGGAAATAGAGATGTTCTGATAACATTTATCACTTCCTGATATTGATTCAGTTACCTGATTTTTAGGTATCGGCTGCCACTGAATAGCATTCAGATTCATGTGCGATAAAAAACAGACACCTATAATTTATTATTATTTCATGTCACAATTGATGTTTAAATGTGTCTTTGGGCTGTACCTCTACTGTCCTCCAGTTTCTGTCAAACACTGACAGGGAGTCCTGTTTCAGGTATCTTCAGGTGTTCTTAATGGTATTTAGAGTGTCCTGATAATCAGTAAAAGTGGTTGATGACTCATCCTGCACTCGGGGGCGTATACCAGTGCTGCGTCAGGGCGCTCTGTGGTCGTCTAATGTGCTAGTAAATCAGATCAAAATCCCAACACAAGACTTACTTCCTGTTGTCAGTAGGGGGCGCTTTGAGTACGACGGAATATTGCATGTAGATGTGTTTAGGGCGGGACTCAGATTGGACAAATTACAACTTCTTGTTTAAGGACAGAAAACCACCTGTGTTGCACTGACACTGGCCATGTGTCAACACTGGAAAAATGCTTACTTCCTCCTTTTACGGTGGTGATACATCGAAATTCGACACCACACCGTTCAACGAAGTCACCAGATTGGAGGTAGAGCGGGTCGTCCAATAATCAGGTTGGTGGTTCAATCCCTGGCTCCTCTCGCTGTGTCCATTTGTCCATCGTATCTATTAGCAATATACTGAACCTCAAATTGCTCCGGATGCTGCACATCAATGTATGTTAGTTTCCTTGCATGGCAGCTGCTGCCATCAGTGTATGAATGTGTGTGGGCGGTTGAGTGTGGCATGTAGTCTACAGTGCATTGAGTTGTATATATTTACGGTCCATTTACAAATCAGGTTTGTTGTGATTAAATGTATAATTGCTGCTAAAAATGCTGTAAAACGTTGTTTTCCTTTGCTGCATTTCATCTTTTATACATCAGCAGTTATTAAGTGTGATTATTGACTGACACACATTTCTACAATATTAATCTCACAGTTTGACTTCCTGTCTGTGGTTTTAACCGTCGGCTCTGTGAGATCTGTGGGAACGCCGACTCCAGTGCTGGCGTTTGCAGGAGGGGCAGTGCAGATTGTCCTGGTGAAGCAGCTTCTGCACGTTGCTGTGAGGAATGTAATTTGTATTATTTCTGTTGTTGTGTTAATAGTGTGAATGTTGTCTGGAGTTGATTTATTGTGTACTGAGTTCTTCTGTTTCCTACAGAAATAATGAACATAAACAGTCCCACTAAATTCCCCAGTATTGACGACCCAGAGGTGGTGGCGATCCGGCAGGAGCTGCAGCTGTCGGCTGAAAGTATGAAATGAGTTGTTAGCTTTGGTCGAGCGTCGAGGATTCCAAACACTATTTTTATTATCCTGAAGGAAACAGTCTCTTTCTGGATGCTCTGGCTGGATTATTATTTCTTTCAGCTGATTGAAGAGAGACTGCAGGGATTTACTTTTAATGAGAGAGAATTAACAGCACTGGGCTAATTAAGGTAGCCTCCACGTCCCTACAGTGCAATGTAGAGAAAATCAGGTGAGGCAGGAACTGTTAGCTCTACCTGTCCTACATTGTTTCTACTCTACAGTGACTGTATCTGCATTGTAAAGTGTTGATACACACTTACATACAGGTGTAAACTGTTGATTAAAATGTCTTTGGTCTTTATATGTATGCATCATAACTAGGGGTGTAACGCTTCATCTACTACATCGATGTATCGATTTATATTCCTATGATCCAACTACATCGATCTGTGCTCGGCAAGTTGGCCTTCCGGACGACATATATCGATCTAACAATGTTTTAAAAGGTACCGATACTAGGAAATAATGCATTGGATTTAAGCACGTCAGACTTTATATTGATGTGTTTTTTTCTTAGCACTTTTAATGATAAAGGCATTAAACGTTACTCGTTTCAGTCTGCCTATATGTGACGTCATCGCCACGCGCCAGCAGCAGCATAAATTTAAGAAGACAACAAAACAGCATGGCGGATGGCAGAGGAGAAGCTGTCGAGCGAGAAATTATCAAGCCACCATTGCGGTCCAGTATGTGGAAACACTTCTAAATAAGTCGCTCGCTGTTTGTAGGATATGTAAAGGTCAAGTAAAGTACAACGGCAACACGACAAATCTCTCCAACCACATACTGGTAAAAATATTGGCGCGTTACTGCGTGAAGCCTGCACGGAGTGGAAAATCTCCGACAAGAATCCTGCCATCGTCACAGATAACGCCAGGAACATGATTGTGGCCGGTGCAGAAGCCGAGTTCAGTCCACACATTACCTGCTTCGCACATACAGTGTATAATTTCTGTGTTAAAAAACAACAGTAACAGTAGCAGGTAAACCTGTTAATTCAATGTGAAGAGATGTTGGTTGCACTTTATTTTTGATATTAATATTATAATATTTTTATGTTGAAAAACAAAAGCAGAAGTAGCAGGTAAACCTACTGTTGAAATGTTGGTTGCACTTACTGTATTTTTTATTGAAAATGTATTGAATATTGAAAATGAGAGCAGAAAAGGTTTGCTTCCTGTTAATTCAACCTGAAGTGTTGGCGACTTTATTCAAATAAAATGTGAATGCATTTGCCATTAATTGTTGTTTACTTGTTTGTTTATATCCATAATTAATTGATACCTGATTCCCTTACAAGAAACAACAGGAATCTAGGAAACTTAACCTGCACTGTCCAGTATCCAGGTATTTATTTCAGTCACACTGGTTGAGTTTTTGGCTAAAAAGTTACTGAATCGATTTCAAGTCACTGAATCGTTTCGGATCGTATCGTTCTAAATTAACCAGTATCTTCCTTGAATCGTATTGGCAACCACGAATCGTGATACGAATCGAATCGTTGTTAAAACGAATCGTTACACTCCTAATCATCCCATTAATGCATGTTACTAACTTCGTTTCTTCCCCGGAGTTCTTGTGCTTTCTCGTCCTTATCGATCCTGGTGGAGCCTACTGCCATGGTCCTGCTAGATTGCCATTACCAATACTGTTGTTGCTGTGGACCTGTCTGTCTGTCTGTATCTCTCTCTGTCTGTCTGTCTGTCTCTCTCTCTCTCTCACCCCAACTGGTCGAGACAGACGACCACCCCCCTAGAGCCGGAGGATCTGTCCTAGGTTTCTGCCTTTTAACAGGCGGTTTTTCCTTGCCCTTGTCTCCAAGGTCTTGCTCATGGTGGTACTGTTGGGTCTCTGTAAATAATGTTATAAAGAGTTCGGTCTAGACCTGCTCTATTTGAAAAGTGTCCTGAGATAACTTCTGTTATGAATTGGCGCTATACAAATAAAATTGAATTGAATTGAATTGATCATAACACTTACTAACTGTAGGTTTAATAATGAACATATTTTCTACAGTGGTTACAGTATTTTGCGCCACGTGTAGAGAGTAACGGCTGAAATGTCTCATGTTCTGTGTTTGATGTACGTTGGTTGTTTTGGATCAGCAGTATGTCGTATGGACCTGGAGGTACAGAGGCCAGCACTGTGCCACAGAGTGGTACAGGTTCATGGCAGGGCGACGGGTGGCCTCAACCACCAAGTCCACCTCTGTAGGACGAGTGAACAGAAGCTGGTCCTGTCTGAGGAAACCCAGCAGGTCGAGGGGAGTGTTGGTGTTTTGTTGTGGTTTTCATGCTAATGGTATGTCTGATGGTCTGGTTGTGTAATATTATATTATATCATTAATCATGAATATTATGAGTTGATTTATTGTGTACTGTGTTCTGTTTTCTACAGAAATAGTGAATGTAAACAGTCCCATTAAATCCCGCTCCTTTAATGAGCCAGAGGAGCTGCAGCTGTCGGCTGTGTTGTTAGCTTCGGTCCTGACTGCTTTGAACATGATAACGTTGAGCATGTGCAGCAGAAGTTAAATAATTAAAGAAAGATTTTGTATTTTTGCAATAGTTTGTGGTTATTGAGAGGGTTGAGTATTTATAAGTTCAATAAGAGATGTCCAGAAATGCTGTTCCACAGTAAAGACTGTATGTCCCTACATATTCAAAAGTATTGAGAGATTAAAGATTGAAATTTAACGAACCCGTTAATACTGTGTGAATAATGATTTCATTTATTAGTGTCTGTAGCTGTCATTAAGTTAATGGTGTTTATTGAATGCATTTTAAATGTTACATTAATAAGACAATATAATAAAATTGGTTGATAATCTTTAATATAAACCGTCTCATCATATGTCAGGTTGTGTTAGTACTGTCTTATAATGTTTTACAGTTCAGTGCTCTGGTTATTTTTATGGTACTAAATTATTTTGAAATCCATTACATCATTTATAATTAAAGCCATTATTAAATCAGCGGATATAAACTCAAGGCGACATTTATTTTGACAACTTCCACTTGGTGTTTGCTTTGAGGGGTGGGACACATGATATTAGCTAAAAGGAAAAGACATCGGTGGTTTATGTATGAATTATATGTTAAAGTTAAGAGTTTATTAGTACTTTTAAACACTTTTCTTGAATAATTAAGGTTTAGTGTTCACGATTAGTTTCAGCCCAGGTCGTCGACAAACACTCCTCCTTTGTTTACTGTGAATGGTTAACCTGAATGTTTGAGTGTCGCACCGAACAAGTGCTTGCTCATGGTGGGAACTGTTGGGTCTCTGAATGTCCTGAGATAACTTCTGTTCTACAGTGTTTCATACGGAGCGATGGACAGTTGACGTGGAAACACAGCGGTCTTGTGACTTAAAAATTCTGCCTTCATGTGTAAAGTGTATATTGTGGTCATATGATTGTAAAACTCTTGTTTCTTGTTGTAGGAGCATCAGATGGGATTGTGAAGATAACAGAGGGAAAGCTTTCCTTTGCCTTTATGTCGTATCGTATTTAACTTCTGGTCACTTTCCAACAGGTTCCGACAACTTGAACCTGTGGAGCTCAGATGGTGGAGGTAGAATATACTGTGGTTCACTTGTTCAGTTCATAGCAGATACATATTGAGTTTAACTTTTATTATCAGTAAATGCAAATTCTACCTTATTTCCAGGTTAACTTGAGTGATAACGGAGGCATGGTGGTCCGGTCTCGGTTGCTGTTGGCTGCTGCTTACTGAAGGCCTCTGCACCGAACCCGCAGGCTGCTGCCGGGACATCGCGGCCTGTTCGTCGCAGCACTCAAAAGATTGTTAGATTCTGTTGTTGAGATACTGAAACATTGTGAAACCAGTGAAGTCCGCTCAGCTTTACACATATTTCCTACAAATACACAAGAGCATAAAACAGAGCAGCTGTTTAAGAGTTTCCCTAAATATGTAACAATATTTGGAGATTAAGATTTTGTTAATAGTTAGAAAACAGGAAAGCTTGAGTTGATTAAAGGACAACGTAGAACCTTTAATGTTCAGAGGAAAAGCTGCTTTGGGTAAAGATGATAAATGTAGATGTTTGTTTAATGTGGTACTGGTATAATTCATGTAATTAGTGTACAGAGGAGTAAAGGTGTGTTAATGCTGAAATGGGTTCCACCAGAACTGGGAACATTTATTTATTTGGTTTATTCAGTGTTTTTAAAATCGTATTTCCTTGTACAATATTATTATTTTCTTTTTTATCCTTACTGATTTTGCCTTTATTTACTTAATTTGGTTTCTAGTGTAGCTTTTATTAAACACTGTTGAAAATATTTCTATAATAAAATACTCATTTTTATTTTTTATGTAGTTTGTATTCCAGTCAGAAATCTGTGAATCATTAAACTGTATTAAAAAGGTGTTGAACAAATAAAGTTACTGTTAAAAACAAGTTGAGTTTTTCTCTGAATGGATGTAAAGACTGCAGATTTTTAAGGGTTAAACACTTCAATCATTATTTGACTCATTTATTCCAGCACTGATTAAACCTTTGTGTCATTATACAACCTTCTTTTGAGTCTGGCTCCTTCAGACATGAACCTGGCTGTGAATCAGCCAATTACAAACAAAAGGAACCGGTTTTGCACATAAACTGTGGACTTATTTATTGTCGATGCTTCCTGGTGTCAGGGTGCAGTCCAGGGTGAAATCTCCTCCGCTTGACCTCCAAACACAGCCAGTTTGATTAGTCATGGCTGTCTGCTCGAGGCCGACCGCGCTGAGTCATTATGACATAAATAACTTCTCTGTTTAACTTCCAGTGGAGCTGAATTACAAGATATCAGGAAGTTATCAGTCGCTCAACTGAAGGTACGTTTTCTTACGCTCACATTGATCAGATGGATGCACTCAGTCAGTTTTAGGACTGAGTATCGACAGTATTATGATATGTATCCAAATACAGACGTTAAAATTACTTATACTGAGACACATTGTGGTTGTACTGTAAAGGGGGGTTCATTTCAGGGTTTAGGAAAAAGTATAAAGAGAGGAATGTAAAGGCAGTTCAAAAGTTTCAACATTCACAGGTGGAGTATTTAGTCATGTATGGATTTTGTATTGTAGAATAAAACATGAAAGTTTCTTAACCTTGTGTTAAACAGACTTAATTTCAGACATTAACAGAAACCCCGCTGACTTTGTTAGCTGAAATGCTAACTGAGTTCCCGCTGTTTGGACTCAGTCCTGCAGCGCTCTTTAAATCATTGTTCCTCCAGCGAATGTAAAAGAGCTGTGTTTTTATGCTACATCAGGTGTTCATAAAGCAGAAAACACTCACAGATAAAGAGACGTGCTGTTGTACGGAGTCCAACTCCCTGTTAGACCTTTAATGAACAAACTTTAATAAGTAGTTCACTTATTTATGATTGGAGAGCTGTAACTGTAAAATGATCACAAGACATGACTTTTGAAAAGAAAAGGAAATATGCATTGTTTTGCAATTTATTCTCTCTCAGAAATGAAAAGACTCTGAAAGAAAACTGATTTTGTAGCTTTTTGTCATAATAAAGGATCTTTTTCGTCCATAATTTGTGTTTGTTACAAAGAACGGTGAGAAAATCATGTGGTGGCAGTACTGATTCCCCGAGTATCAAGGAAAAGGAAAAGGAGCCTGAGAATCAGTTCCCAAAACACATTAAAATAAAGTGTTATTTTAAAAATGAAATAATGATTCTTCAATAAAGGTAAACTCTCAAACACTTCTTAAGAAAACAAGAGAGACAGTAAAGGGGGTCTGTGTCTCATAGTGTGAGTTCTTTAGAGGACCAGACTGAACCCCCCCCCCAGTTGTAACAGGTGAGCTGAGTGATCCTGTACCTGTGCAGTATGTCACCATACGGAGAGACGTTTCCTGTGTTTGGGGTCGAACTTCCTCTAATGAACAAAGTGAAAGTGAAATAAAGTTAATGTGATTGTGGAGGACAAAGTCTGTGTGAAATCATCATAAGATATGTAGAGATACGTTTTACAGCTAAGGACCTTAAACTGAAATAATAATAATAGTTTATAAGCAGTTCACGTACAAATGATAATGTATGAGTGTTGATAATATTGTGGTTTGTTTTTATATTATAATGTAGTGAAACAGAACTTTATTGTTATTGCTCATCATGCTGCGGTCTGTTCGGGTCCACTTGGATCAGGTCTGACTGTTGTTGGGTCTCTAGAAATAATTTATGCGTGTTGGGTTCAGGTAGGTTTTCAGGTCCGAAGACCTCTGGGTTCAGAATCGATTTCCTCCGTCTCTCTTGCGCTCTCACATTGTTTATTCTGACCTTCCTCAATCTGCCCAGGCATCATTAGTGGAGGGACTTTGTCTTTTCCATCCACACCATCAATAATTGAGACTGTGTTGTTGGACTGGGGTTTCAGATGCTGAATGAGCCGCACAAAGATGGGCAGCGTTTTATTTAAACAGCGATGTTGGTGCGGAGAGTACTGATACTTTTCATCTGTGTACTATATAGTAAATCACCAACTAGCTAACGTTAGCTTATAAATGGAGTCCGCTAACACAGAGTCCAACACAGAGTCCACAACACAGAGTCCACAACACAGAGTCCACAACACAGAGTCCAACACAGAGTCCAACACAGAGTCCACAACACAGAGTCCAACACAGAGTCCACAACACAGAGTCCAACACAGAGTCCACAACACAGAGTCCACAACACAGAGTCCAACACAGAGTCCACAACACAGAGTCCAACACAGAGTCCACAACACAGAGTCCAACACAGAGTCCACAACACAGAGTCCACAACACAGAGTCCAACACAGAGTCCACAACACAGAGTCCACAACACAGAGTCCAACACAGAGTCCAACACAGAGTCCACACAGAGTCCACAACACAGAACACAGAGTCCAACACAGAGTCCACAAACAAGTCCAACACAGAGTCCAACACAGAGTCCAACACAATAACGAG